GCCAAAAGTCAGAATCAGTAGAGTATTCCAAATAGAGTTATCATCCCCCTTAAAAATGAGAAGTATTTCTCTCAGAGCATAGGTAGTTTACTACACTCTGAGAGAAAACCACATTGTATTTCAGCATAGTTTCATTCATAGTGAATGGAAAGAAATGCGATACAAGCACATTTCATTTAAGCTCAGAAGCTTTCTGAAGTACCTTTTTATTACTGATGGAAATTGCTACACTTAAATATTTTTCTGGTGAGGCTAATTCACTACTTCTCTTTACACAAACCTAGGAAAAATGATTTTTAAAAAGGAATTTATTTAAGGTTTTTTTGTTTGTTTTTTCTTTTTGTTTTTTCTCCATTAATGAATAATGAGGAACCCCGTCTTCATAAAATTTACCTTCAGGAAATCTTCATAAAATAAGCACTGAACTGCTGGTGCACTGAAGTCAAAGAATTCTAACCAGCTAACCAGCCTGTTCATTAGGAACAGGGTTCCACAGCTTAAATAAAACCATAGATGAGATTGGTTATTTACAAGTGATAAGGGATAAAATGCTTGATATCACTGAGTTTTTTTTTTTAATTTTATTTTAAATAATTCAGAAAAATGCATTTCACTCATCTACGTTGAAATCTGGGAAATGACTTGATGACGGCACAATAATGAAAATGTTCCCTTTTGCATTTCATAATACTAATTAAAAGAAATACCCTAAAGTTATCAATAACATAGAAAAATCTTGTCTGTTAGGTCAAGGGCAACATTTGTTCACCTTACTTAAAGATCATTAAAATACATTCTTAATCATAACATGTAGTTCATTACAAATAAAATTGCCTTTGGTTCAATAAAACTAATTAAATGTAAATGGTATTGTTTACTGCTGTATGGATCTTCTGATATAAATCAGCAAGTCGCCATTTATTGAAAATTACAGTGACCTCACTGCTGTTAATAAATTTACTTGATCACACATGCTGGAGAAGAATGGCCTCAGAATGGGGAATATTGTCAGAAAAAAACTGCCCCACACCTAACTATGAAACTCTAAGAAACCTAATCTGAGTGTTACAGTATTTGCTGCTCAGCCATCATTAGATGACTTGCTGAAATTTTAATTCTCTGATCACATTAAGTGGTTTAGGAAGACAACAAAATCTGTACCGATCATCTTTGGCGGTGTCATCTGTTCTTTAAGAAAAGCTCTAAAGGTCTGTGGGTTTATTTATTCCGGGTGTCACCGGGGGTAAGGTTACAAAGCCGCTCTGCTGATGTGACTGACAGCTCATGACAACAGCAGATACTCACAATCCTTCTGCCAGATAACTAAGGAAATCAAAATCAATGACAATTATGGAAAGCATATTCCGTCAAATAGATGACCACTAGACCAAATAGTACTTTATGCTCCAATTACACAGATCTTTAAGTTTTAAAAAATATATTTTAAGAACTGTTAAATAAACAGGGAGCTGCAGCTTTTAAAATGTCCTGCAAGCAGCTGGAGCAGGCATTGTGTGGAGTCCCTGAAAGTCCGGAAAGGCACCTATGCAACCAAGTGCTACTCCAAAGGGAAAGGTAGCTGAAATATTTTGAGCCACTGCAGCCCAGGGATGATGAGGGCAGAAGGACTGAGCCCAGAGAAACAGCATCTCGTCCCAAATGGGCTGTTTGCGTAAAGGGAACCTATACGCTGAATTGCAGGTTTAACGAATATACATTGAAACTAAGAGAAGTAGCACATTTTTATAGCCGACCGTACAAATATGGGCATTCACTCCTGCTAAAGACAGTACTGAATTAAAGCCTAAGTTTCATATATTTGAATTAGAGAAAGCTGTAAGTGTTGGTCATGTTTCTTAACAATTCTTAAGTAGGGTCACAGACCATTTTCTCTTTTGCTCCATCCATTCTCTTCACTGTGCCTTCTCCCTAACGTGCAGCTCGCACTCGAGACCTCCTGATCCTGGACAGGACTCGAGCTCGCACGAGCTCCGTCGGCGCAAGGAGCTGAGCGGAGCAGCCATCAGCGTCCCGTCACCACAGCTATTTTACCGAGAGCCCAGCAGGTGGCAATCAAGAATTATTGCAAGAGAAAAAACCAGGAAGGCTTTTTTTTTTTTTTTCCCCTCTCCAAATTGTAAGACATTCTGCAATTTATTATCTCACATTGCATGCGTAATAAAACAGATAGAAAAAAATCTACTAATATACAAGCTTTGGAAGTGGCAATATTGGTTGCTAGGTATTATACAGAACTGATGGAAGCAGATATCACATCAGAATGTTCAGGCTGTTGAGAAGGTTTGTATGCTAAAATTCCATAAAGTAGCTTTCATTAAATTTCATTAAACATTTGGACAGGTATTCCTTGCCCAAAAATGCCTTGTTTTCACTATTTTCTTGGCAAGCATAAGGCCTAAAGCATCTTGCAGAGCAAACAACATAACTGGGATAAAATAAGGATTACTTTTCTAGCAGTTTCATACCTTTAGAAGAAGGAATTGCCTAACTCTCCCAGCCTTTCATAGAAGGAAAGGAAACCAAAGTAGATCTCAGAGGGAAGTGTAAAGCTCTGTCTTCTATAGATTGCTTCTGCCCCAAATGTCTGCAGCAGCGTTAAGCTGATACACACACATGAGTGAGAGAGAGAATGTCCTTATACCATGTGGGCAAGCCAAATAATCTTTCCACTTAATCTTTTCCACTACTATGTCAACTAGTTTGTTTTCAAACACAACCACCATCAAAATATAAGTCATGGAACTTGATACTGGCCTTTCTACTCAAGTTCTTCAAATTTCTTAATACTTTTGGATTCTCCGAGTAAATCAAGGCAGATCTGGAAGTATTTTTAATATTTTTGCTAATTCCGGCGCACTGAACCCAGCCTTTGCCCCGCTGGACGCGAGCAGCGTTTTTGGCGGTTCCCAGAACACCCCGTGAACAGGTCACCACGGCCAGGGAAACGCTCGCCGGCCGCACGCAGCAGAGCCAACACCAAGTCAGCAGCCGCTCCTAGGAAGGACGATCCCGCCTCCAAAACAGATTATAGCGCCAGTGACAGACAGTTAAAAGCATTAAAATCTCTGCCAACTTTGTGTACAACGGACAATATTTAAAAAGTAATTCCACAAAGCAAAAATGCAATTTGAACCTGCTTACAACACGTTATGCAGAAAAAAAATCAGTAAGAACAAGACAAAAGCAACGTATCAGGGCAAAGAATTCACTCAATCCCATTAATTCTTTAGCAAATGAGGATTTTCATTAGAATTTTCTGACAGTCTTTCCATCAGTCAGATCACCTACTTTCCCTTCACCACATCAACATGCAAAACACAAAGTTTTACGAAACATTTCCATACCACATGGATAGGTTAAATTAGCAATAATACACACTGGCCCTACATTAAAGCTGTACGCTAAATAATGGTTTCTAATATTCTTTTCTAGGAATACATCTCAGAGCTAAGTGACTTAAGAGCTAAGGCATAACCTGTCAGAAAATAAAAGAGAATAAAAGCAACACAGAAGCAGTTGGTTGAGCCACCTTCCTCCTCTTAACAGAGCACATGAAACATTTAGGCTACATGTACACACATACACAAAAATGGAATACAACATATACATACATGGGACATGCAATTTTAACAACTTTATCCGAGATATTTACGATAAATTTATATACATACATGCTCAAAAATACACACAGACAACTGTTAGAAAGCTCCCCTTGCATGAACCTGCACACTTCACCTTGCCAGACCAGAAAACTTCCTGACCCAAAAACCCTTCGTATTCCAACACAGATTTCAGTTTCCCAACGTTAGAGCTAAGTGATTGCAGCAATGGTTCCTAAGGCAAGAATGACTTGCACTTGCAGCATTAAGACTTGCTTGAAAACACTGTAATTGTGATACACTTCAGTGGAGTATGGGTCTCCAGCTGAATCACAGCAAGAACCATTAAGTTATAAGACTAAAAATAAAGAATATCTGGTTTTGCTTTCTTCTTGTTTCAGTGTTGAACAAACAACAACAAAAAATGCCTAACCTAACTTCTCACTTGGCATTCAACAGAATATCTATTTCTTATTTATTGCCAAAAAATAAAATTGCATTAACAGACAATTTTCCATTATAAATACATTTGCAATAATTATAGCAATTATACGTAATAAGATGTGCACATATACACAAGTGGATGGAAAATACTTTAAAAGCAAAATAGATTGAAATACTCACTCCCAACGCTGGCAATCTTTGGGTACAGCTGACAGCAACCTTTAGTTTCCAATCTGTTTCTCCATCAAGCTGGTCAGTTCGAATGAAACATGAACCTTTAAGTTATAAAAAGACACCAAACTATTTTTTAGATTTCATAAAAATACAGTTTGGCCTAAAAATAAAATACAGAAGTGAGAATAAATTGATAAAAAAAAAAAAAAAAACACACGTTTAAATACATGCCTTGCATATGAGAGGATTGATACTCCACAGTGTCCATGTGTTGATTTAACACTTTCTGCCAGGAATACTCTGGCTTTCATACAATAGTTGAGAACAATTTTTTTGATAAATTTAACAATATCATCAGTATTTTAAAACTGTTACTTCCAACAGATCCAACTTGACTAAAGATGAAACAGAGCCCATTTTCTTTCTTTTTAAAATCTGGTCACTTGTGCAATTCCAGCATGTTAGAAAAATTACCAAATGAAGACATGCCTGTAACTCCTGTCTTGCTGCTAGTATGAAATACCACACACTTGCATTGGCTATATTTTCCTGGTCTGTTTTGTTGGATGATAATCGAAGCAGTATGGAGGTCCCCAACACATTATCTTTAAAGGAAATAATTTTAGGTTACCTGTACATCTCAAGGACCCAAAACTTAAAATAAATAAATAAATAAAATACTTGTCAACACATGCACAACAACTAAGATGCAATGGAAGTTGAAGACAGACACATTCATACTGAAAAAACAATGGTGCCAACTGAAAACTTCATACACAGAAAATTCATATCCAAGAACTACACAATTACTGTCAGCACAGGAAGAATGCCTGCCCCATGTTAATTCATTTACTGATAAGGCCACTTCTTTTAGGTAACCCTGCTTGGGCAGGTGAGTTAGATTAAACAATCTCCAGAGGTCCCTTCCTACCTCACTCTGTGATCAGCAGTTCTATACAGGTTGCCAACATAAGATTCAAGGACAACAGCATTTGAAATTGCAAACCCATTAAATTCATGTACAAATGGTTAAAAACTCCAGCTAGCTTACAGTCTGAATAACAACAACAATAATAAAAGTGCAGTAACATTTTAGCAATACTGCTTGATGCTCCTTGGAGTTGCAACAGTAAAGACGCCTTAAATATATCTAAATTAATAACTACAAGCTTCCTTTCCAGCTGAACATTTCATACACTATTGCCATGTATGCAAAACCAAAAGTAGCAAAAAGAGCAAATTTGTTTTCCTATTTGTAAACTTTAAGCAATGCGGATAGACATATATATGTGCACATGCACAATTCCTTCTGTATTTTGATTCTAGTGAAAACTAAAAAGTGGTAACAATTAAATTAAAAGAAACACTGGGAAAAAAGTATATCCATTAGAATCTTCTTACACAGAAGACGAAGCAAAGGGCTAAAAGCAGTGTGTTTAATAGACAGCATATCAGAAGAGCTAAAAATGAATGCAAAATTAAGAGATTCTTTTTTCAGGACACAGGCTGACGAAGTGTCATTAAGGACGTCTGGTTCACTGCCCAAGTCCGGGTGAATCCACAATCACAAGCAAAGCACATGTATCCCCAGGTAAAGCCTAGAAGAACCAGTTTTATTTATCAATGCCTGTGAATTTAGCATTTCAATAACCTTCTGAAAGGTAACGTTTGAGACAAAAGCCACCCGAAGTTAAATAAAATTTGTAAATAGCGTTTTTATGCCAGAGTCTTTTGAAAGAAGCTTACATACCTTCATGTAACAGCTGTTACATGTTACAGCTGTTAATATTAAGGGGATATTAAGTAAAAGAATCTTAATGTACAGGGCCTTCAGGGCACATACTTTACTAATTTTCTTCCAAAGCTCAGAGCTGCAAGTTGCAAAGCTGTACCTAAAATAACTTCTTGAAAAGCTGATTTGAAATTCTTGACAGGATTGCTGGTGGATTTTCTTCCAATAATAAAGCACTGTAAAGCACTTTTTGAAAAGCCTGTGGACATATACAGCATTATAATTACTACTGGGGCTATCCCGCACCACCTAGAAAGACCACAATTTCGCTGCATTTTTTTTTTTTTTAA